TCCCAAAAAAAAAAAAAAAAAAAAAAAAAAAAAAAAGTGAAGTTATTGTTGGGTTTTTGTACGGTGTAGTGTAGACAAGAAGTAGAAGATAGGGGCATTTAATGGGAGTTTTAGGAAAGTGGTGTGGTCACATCCTGGATTCCACTTTCTCTTCATTCTTTTTGTTTCCTTTTCATTTTCAAATTTGAAGTTTGTAGAGCCTAAGTGTAGTTGGAGTTAATAAGACGAGGGGCTCTTCAGACAAACTAAAATCCAATTCTAACCCCTACCATTCCTAAAAAGAAGCTATTAATGTCTCGACAAGTTGAACTGAACTTAGAAGTTGATGCTCAAAACTTTCTACCATGTTTTTAATGAAAGAATAAAACTAAATAGTCGTTGTTCAGATATTAAAATGTGATTTCTTTTTTGGACATAGGTAACTGCATGCTTTACTGAGAAACACGAAAAACCCATATAAAAAAATGCATTCAAATATGTGAAAAATAGAACATTGATCCATGAGACACAGAACCTGAATATATTATATTTGAGAATCAATGAAACTTGCATCTTTGTCTGCTCGGCGACCGAAGATGTTCGCCAGTGGCAGCTTTTGCGCATGTCCCTCCATATTCCTAGTTTTCCTTTCTCTCTGCACATAAAACCAAGCTCAATTTCTTTATCAACAAATCACTCTTCAACTTCTTTCCAATCTTTTCTTTCCCTAAAATCAAAGAAAACATTATCATCATATAAGTTATTTCCATCATCTCAACACACACACATATATATAGCCTCTCTCTTAGGATTGAACAAAAAGCAGCCCTCTTTTCTGCTTTCTTTATACTGTATGTACTGTAACCATTATGAACTCAAAATGAGTTTTCTTTAAAATATTATAATATAAGAACGAACCCCTAATCCTATGCTTGCCTAACTTCTGTTGATTTTCTTGATCTACTTAATCTTTCAAGAAAGTAAGTTAGAGATATGTTGGTAAGGGAAAAATTTTGTGACGGTAAGGGATCGAACCACTGACATTTATGCTGATAACCGATATTTATAACTAAAAAATAACATGGAGTCCACTATTGTTAGATAATACAAAAGTACTAAAAATTTGTTCCAATTAATGTTTCATGCTGCTCATTCTTTGACACTGCTAATGTGAATTGCAAATAATTAGTAAAAAAGCTATTGGAATATGGGATTTTTCCTTGAACTTTCACTAACTAGTGTGCATATAAATATGCTATATATATATATATATGTGTGTGTATATGGAGCAGGGCGTACTTTTCTGACTTGCACAAGCTTTCTATCTGAGCGAAGAAGTTTCAGTTGATCATCTCTGTTAACAGATCAGAACACACACAGTGTTGAATGAAGAATAATATGAATATGGACGAAGGGATTTCTTCAAGATTTTATGTAAAACCGGCAGGAGGCGGCGGAGACGGTGGTGGAGTGGCCGGAAAAGGGAGTATGAGCAGTAAATGTGGGAGATGGAATCCAACAGCAGAGCAAGTAAAAGTGCTGACAGAGTTGTTCATGTCAGGGCTTAGAACTCCGAGTAGCGATCAGATTCAGAAAATATCTCATCAGCTCAGCTTTTACGGCAAGATCGAGAGCAAAAATGTGTTCTACTGGTTTCAGAATCATAAAGCTCGTGAAAGACAAAAACGTCGCAAAGTTTCTACTTCTCTTGATCACACTCATCATCATCATCATCAACAACAACAACACTTCATTCTTCCACCTTGTTCTAACTGTATGTTCCTTGTTTCTCATTTCCTTTTATCAATTTCTGTCTCTAAAATAACACAAAAGTTTCCAATTTTTTGTCAATCAGAGTCTGACATAACAACAAAAAAGACTATATCAGAAGACAGAGATTTTGAAAAAGTTTCCAACTTTATTTTGTAACCACTCATTGAATATCATGTTTGTTAAGAAGACGAATGGGTCAGGAAAGTTTCTAATTGTTCTTCCTCTAGATAAGTATCATGTCGTAATGAGTTTATATCAAAGTCGGAGTGTTTTTGATTGAAGAAAGTGTTTTTTGTTCTGGGTTTGTGCAGATTTTGCAGATGATCAGTCCACAACAAATAAGGGTGGTACAGTGGAGTTGGAGCCAGAAAGAATGATGAAAACGCTTCAACTTTTTCCATTAAACTCCATTGACGAAACAGAAGGAGATAATGATCATCAGTTCAGAGTAAATGGAGAACAGTACGAGGAGGCAACAGCTTTCACCTACAAAATAGGGACCAAAATGGATCATCCCCCATTGGATCTTCGTTTAAGCTTTCTGTAGAAATCGATGGCTGTTGAAAAAAATATGGTAAGACTGTAGTGTAGCAGCTGCTTAGGATTTTAATTAGTCTGAATTTTTCCTTTTTTATGGGAAATGGAAAAGGGTTTGGACATTCTCAAGTGCATGCTCGAAACACGTAGATGATGAATGAGAGTGGCGTTGGATTTATTGTTAATCAGTGAATGTTGGAAATTGGGAAATTCAAATGGGCTTTTATCACGAGAAACCAATGTGTGGATTCAATGCTTCGGAATCCATAAAAAGGGAATTATAAAAGCTATTTTGGTCATTCCTTGGTTTTGCTTCCCTTATTATTCAATTCAATTCTGGTCATTCCCCATTTCAATATTGCCTCAGGCTCACATAGTTTTCAAGTTTATTAAGAAAGAGAGTTTAAACCTCACTAACGGTCTAAGTTCATATTGTTCTTTTTGGGTTTTCCCTTTCGAGCTTCCCCTCAAGGCTTTAAAACGTGTCTGCAGGGAGAGATTTCCACATCCTTTATAAGAGTCTCGTTCTCCTCCCGAACCAATGTGAGATCGTGGGATCTCACAATTACATCTTCCATTCCAATTCTTCACTATAATTTCCATCCTTCTATTCTACATGCAAAAGAATCCTTCTATGATCCAACATTTATCATATAAGCCTTAAAACCATTGAAAACATTCTCAACTGAAAGGTAGAAGGAGTGTATTTACAGATGGGAGAATAAGCAGAAATCTAGAAGGAAACTTGAGATCAAAAGAGAACATATTAAACTAAATGGCATCAAGATGAAATTGATTTGTGGGTTGAGTCAATGGAACGGAGATGAGTTTGGGATGCCATTCTATTTCTACAGCAGAGCCAAATGGAAAAGGATAAGAGTCTAGTTTTGCTATACACACACTGTAACAAGAACGTTTTACTGACTGCTCAAACTCAGCATCCATCACAACACCATCCATTATATGCACAACAACCTCCTCCTCCTCCTCCTTTATATCCACCATTTCAGACCTCACAAGGTTAACAATCAGCATACCATCTCTGTCCTTATAAATGTACTCAACAGAAGTCAAATAAATAGTTCGAGGAGCCGCAGAGAAACCTAATATACGTGAAAGCAGTGCATATATGTCGTCCAAATTCTCAGTTGTCCAGCGTAACAGCCCAAGCCCACCGCTAGTAGATATTGTTATCTTTGGGTTTTCTCTTATGAGCTTCCCCTCAAGGTTTTAAAACGGGTCTACTAATGAGAGATTTCTCACACCCTTATAAGAAATGCTTCGTTCCTCTCTCCAACCGATGTGGGATCTCACATCAAGCCTTCATTTAGTTGTAAACTTCATTCGCGCTCAAAAGCCTTCTCCCAAGGAACAGAGACAGTAAAGGTAAGATCATTGGGCAACATTTCGGTCATCATTTCCCCAAACTTATTATCTTTAGAAACCATTCTAATAATTGAAGTTTGGTGATTGACTGCCTTTACTCCTAGAGTTAGCTCTGGAAGCCTGAGTGTTGTGATCAGTACAATATGTATGCTACAAAGAGATAGAACCATAAAAGCAACGGCAATTGGGTTCTTTACTAAAATGAAGCTCCTCCTCATCCTCTGTTCAGTAAACCGAATCCATCTTTATTGTCAAAACACTTTCTCCAAACTAGTAGATAATCCAACATCCTTCAATTGATTATACGTATCATAGAACCTGGAAATTAAAGCGTAAATCACGAACCATTACAACCAAAACACCAGCAGAATCACGAACATTTCTCTGAAATGTATTTCCAGGAAACAATTTTGTTTTTACATACATTAACCTCAACTAAGAGAATTCGATGGTTTAGGGTGAAATTGATGTTTCCTATGAACTGCAATTTGTTCGTGCTTCTACAATCAATTTCAAACGATCACAGAATGCAATTAACAAGAGAATCAAATGGTAAAAAGGAAGGCGGAATGAAATTACCTGAAGCTGAGTTATGAAAATAATGAAATTCCGATTCGAACAGCCAGTCTGAACTGGATTTCCTATCCTCCAGCATCAATAATTAAGTCCTCACTGATTCCAAGGAGATCCCTTGGATCCGAACCCCCACCGAATAAATCAATGCAAAGACGACAAAATCGTGCAGAATCGAAGAAACGACATCGTTTGCTTCACTACGCTACTCAGAACTTTCCATGGTCCTACAATATCCGAACTGGAAACGAAAGCGGTACCCCATTCAAAAAGGCTTCTGGGCCAAATTGTTTATGGGTTAGGCCTACTTTAAAATGGGCCGTGAGCCCAACTAGAAATGGATTTGTTTGAATACGTTTTCTTTTTTTCTATTTTTTTAGGGATTTTTTATTCTAAAATTAATAAATACTTTATGATAAAATTAGTATTAGTATTGAACCAATTTTAGTAAAATTTAATCTCAAACTATCGTATTTTAAAATTTAGAAAAAGAAAAAGGTTTATTAGTCGTTGAAATATTGATTAAGGTATTTTAAAAGATATTTAAATTAAATAAATAAGACAATACAATTGACGTATAAAGATGAATTTTAAATTTTAAAAAAGAAGTGGACATGTATAAACTCCGCGAAAGAATCATAATGTTTGGTAATATTAAATTTAAATTGTGTCTAATTATAAACATAATTACAAATAAATAAAAATAATGTTATTTTATGGTAAGATTTCGAAGATATATATATATATATATATATCAAATATATTGATAATTATTTTATTTTCCATAGTAAGATTCTCAACTAAACATTTTATTTTTGAAAACTGAATGGATGATCACAATTGAACAAGAACAAGATCGAAAATCAGATTAGATTTCAATATTTCACATAAAACTAACTTCACATCTACACTTCCATGTAGCTATGGCGTCCGAAATTTAATTAATTTTACCTTCTACTTCCACGATACGTATTGCATGAATTCCCAATCAGACTCAATTCCCGCCATTGTTTCCGGCGCCAAAACCACCTCCAAATCAACACTTCCACCACCCTCTCTGTTCGGAAACGCCGATATTTTACCGTCAAACTTATTCGCCCGCCCACTCCTCACCGCCAACGGCCGTCCCCACCCGAAATCGTTCTCGTACATCGGAAATCTCGGCGAACTACCCATCGTAACTGACGCCCCGTCGGCGTTCCCCAACGGAAAGAGCCTCGGATTTCCCTCCCAATCCTCTACGAACCGCCGCACCATTCCGTTATCGTGCGCCATCACGTTCTCATTCAACTGCTCAGCGCACCACCGCAGATCCCGAGAAAGAACGTTTCCGGCGGTGGCGTACGTTGGAACGCTCTGAATCGCGTTGCCAAAGTAGTACGGATCCAACTTCGGCTCCAGCCGGTGCCGGCAATTCACCGCCATACGAAACGTCGTCATTTTATTCGGCGGGAGCTTTCTCGCTCGCGTTACCGACCTCCATAACAAGGCGCACAGAGACTGAAACGACGATATTGTTGTGACTGTGATCTCCTCGCAATTTGCGTGTTGGTTCGTAACGGTGTCGTTTTTGTACATGCTCTCGAAAATGGACCCCACTTTTCCGTTAATCTCACAGTACTTATCATTACTTTGCTTCCCCATTATCTCCACCGCCGTTACCGTTATATCTCCGTTATCCATTAATTTCTTTTGGTTCGTCTTAGCTTTGAGTTTCAAAATTGCCTCTCTACTGAAAGTGAATATTCTCTCGCGTAACGGTACGTCGCCGGAGAACGTGACTTTAGGGCCACTTGCCGGAAGACGGAGAACGGCCGGAGATACCAGAACGGAATCTCGGCGGAAGTTCGGCGAAGGAGTGATGCTGATTCTTTTCATCGTCGTTGTCGATTTATCGGCTTTACATTCCTCTGCGAAGGTGTTGAAGAAGTTCCAAAAGGAGGTGCCGTCAGTGACGGCGTGGTTGACGGAGCAGCCAATGAAAATTCCGTCAGCTAGGAAGGTGATCTGGACGGCCATGATTGGGTTAAAATGGCCGGAGAAACTGACCGTTCGATCGAAAGCGAAAAACTCCTTGAAGCAATCATGAACATAGCCAGGAACGAGAAGGTCACGAACAAAAAACTCACCGGCATTGGCGTGGATGAAATCCACGCCTGCGTCGTTACATTCGATGTAGACGTAACCGGCGTGATCGGTGACCAAACGTCCAGCGAGCGGCGGAAAACGAGAGAGCGTTCTTGCGAGACCGCGTTTGAGAAGATCGAGAACGGAAATATCGTCGAGATTAGGGGAAGTGAAGAGGCAGCCTTTCTGGATGTAGTGACATGAGAGCATAGGGAGATCGGAGACGGAGAGTTTCAGGTCCGGCAGGGCGGAGGGTTGATCGGGGAACACAACGCATTTGGAGAGAAGAACTGGCGAAGAAGGAGTTGGGATTGGCATTTTTCACGTCTTAATTTTGTCTTACGAGAGAATATGAAGTGCGTAGAGAAATGAGCGGCGGAGATGAGTATTTATAGCCGAAGGGGAAAATACGGACGGGTTTTTGGTTCATGAACTTGCGGTTTTATTTATTTATTTATTTATTTACTCAATCACTAATTTCATTGTCATTTATTTATTTATTTTTCTTTTTTATTATTGGGTTAGAAATTTTGGATACTAAAAAGATTTTCAAATCTCAGAGAGTATCTCTCTCAATAAACCCAACCTTGGACTTTACACTAAAATCTCTCTAATATAATCAAATCTTATAATAATTTTATAGCATAGTTTTAATTAAATTAATGATTATTATTATTATATAGTTTTGACATGCAAGAATTAACAAGTGCCGCCGACTAATACTCCTCTGTAAGCTGGCTGTCACTCTCCAAATCCCCAGATGAGGGGCGGCTCTAAATAATTAAACAATCAATCAAGTAGCAATTTTGCTAATTCTGATTAATATATATATATATATATATATATATATATATAGTGGGTGATGTTGGAGATGATCAATGGAGTGTGTATAAAATGGTCGGTTGATTATATGAATGATATTAATCCCTGTAATGGCGGGCAATGTGTGTTAATTTAGATTATAAAAAAGACATATGCCTTGGGGAATATAATATATAGTTTTTAATGTGGGTTTCACTTAGAGAATAAGGCACATTGGATGGGGTTGTAAATGTAATATAAGATAGTTGGAGTCGAGGAATTGATATAAATTTCTTTGGAGAGCTCTTCGTAAATATGTTAAACGGTCGTATCTTCAATGATTCACCTTTTAAAGGCTAACATCTGGAAAAGATCAATTTAGTTTTGAATTTAAAAGATCATTATTATTTGACCCATTTGAATTGGGTATATGGTTAAATTCATTTAATGATTTGAATTTATAAATTAAAGAATTAATTAAGACGTATTATTGTAAATATTAGTTTGTTAATTATATCAAGTGTGTCGTTACGGTCAAATATATACCATGAGTGTCCGCTTAGATAACTAAATATCAACATAATGCATGTATTTAAACAATTTAAAAACAACTTATTAGATGGTGTACCAGCCATTTAGAAAGATTTTTTTTTTTTTTTTTTATAATATATATGCGTACCATAAATTAAGTCAATTTAGAACAAAACTACGACTTAAGTAATTTGAATTTTTTCTATAATGCATGTATTTAGTCTAAGTTTTTCAAAACTACGACTCTTTCAATGACGTAGCAATTGATTTGGATGAACTAGAATATGATATAAACATAAAAACATGGATAAGTATAAAGACATTTCGAGTATGTTTATTATATAACATAATGTATGAGATTATTGACTCATAATATTTTAATATAGTGCGTGCATGAGATGAATCCAAATTAACAACTCTTTCTAGTCGTTTTTGGGTGAAACTTTAGACTAAAAAAAATATAGAAACTTATAAGATGGATAATATATATATATATAAAGAAAGATAAAGTTAGGGGCATGGGAGTTGATGTTTGGCAGCTCAAAGACAGGAAGCAGAGCAATGAATCTTCTACAAAGACAAGGAAAAGAACAAGACAAACCACCTTTTAATTCTTATTATTATAAATGTATATATATCTTTCTCTACTCTTGGTTTGTCCTCAAAATAATACTGACATGTTTTTTTTTTTTTTTTTTTTTTTTTTTTTTTTTTTTTTTTTTTTTTTTTTTTTTTTTTTTTTTTTTTTTTTTTTTTTTTTTTTTTTTTTTTTTTT